CCGACATACCCCTTTTTTTTTACCCGACCTGAATCCGACCAGGATTCTGCCCCGGTAATCCATAGTAAAACCCTTATAACTTTTTACTCTGATGTCGATTGGATACGGGGTTTTGTGCGTTGCAAACTAGACTCGTAGGCCTTCAATTTAATGGGTGATAGGCCTTATAACTCTTTATATATTGGGAGAAAATATCCAAAACATTTGACCCAAATTTCAGAGAAATTTTTAAAAAGGAACTTACGATAACTTTCGCCAACTTTTATTTTGCGACTTACTTAACTTCAAAACTTGAGATACAACCCTTGAACACTTAAAATATGACATACCACATCATTCTTAATTTATTATTCATCTTTTTTGTCTTTCCACGAAGATACGAGTTAATTTAGATGTTTTGAAAAGTCGGGGTGTTACAAACACAATAATGTAACTTTATAAATGCTGATAAAATAGAAACAATAATAACAAGCATGAAAAGAACTATACAAGTGTAACACAAAGAGAAATTAAGAGGAATAGGGTTCTTACTTATTTGGGATAAGGGTCTAAAAAATACCCCAACTTTGGTCGAATTTGTTGTTACGATACTAAACTTTCATGAGGACCTATTACCTCCCTAGACTATTTAATACCGTATTTTAAACATATATATTTGCCCACGTGGACATTAAAAATAATGCAAAATTAAAAATAGTAATGCGTCCACGTGGGAACATATATACCTTTAAAATACACTATTAAATAGTTCAGGGGGTAAAAAGTATGGTATTAAATAGTCTAGGGAGGTAATAGGTCATCATGAAAGTTTAGTATCGCAACAGCAAATCCGACCAAAGTTGGGGTATTTTTCAGACCCTTATCCCTTTAGATTTTAACGTTTTGTATAATGTGAAGTTGTGAACTCAAACTCACTGTGATGTGTGAATTGAAGGCTAAAGGACAAAGACAGTAACTAGTAAAGTATTGAAATTAATATATAATATTTATGTACAAGTAAAAGTAGTAAATTACTAGTCTTAATGGGTTATCAGTTTACCCAATAACCCATTATTAAAAATTAATACCAAACCGATGACTCAATAAAAAAAAATTATAAAACCATTAAAAACACGTTAACCCAATAACCCACATTTTAACGGTCAAATTAGCTAAAAATGAAAATTGTCTCACAATAGTTACCACTTTGAAAATTTAAGATTAACGTTTACCATCGTTTCTAACCATATATTTAACATTAAAATTTAGTGGTTTTTTATATTACTTAATTCCCAAAAAAAACATCTAAAATAAAGGTAATTTCGGAAACTATACTTTATATTTGCTATTATTTTAAGGGAAAATTATGCGGTTAAGCAAACTTATACTACTTAATTGCTCATCATAGCTATAGTTTGCTATAATTACCACTCGCGACTAACATTATACATTAATTACGTGGATTGACTTCGAGTTTGTATAATTAGTCAATATGTATAATTCACCAGAATATACAAATACATATGTATAATATACAATTATCTAACCGATATACATATACAATTCACCTCTCTCCCACTTTCTTCCCTCTCTCGCTCGCCTCTCTCCTCCCTCTCCCAATCTCGCTCTTCTCTCTCCTCCCTCTCCAATCTCGCTTGCCATATAAACAAATGCATATGTATAATATACAATTATCTAACCGATATACATATACAATTCACCTCTCTCCCACTCTCTGCCCTCTTTCGCTCGCCTCTCTCCTTTCTCTCCCAATCTCGCTCTCCTCTCTCTCCCAATCTCAATTGCCATATATACAAATACATATGTATAATATACAATTATCTAACCGATATACATATGCAATCCACCTCTCTCCCACTCTTTTCCCACTCTCGCTCGCCTCTCTCCGCTCTCTCCCAGTCTCGCTCACCCCTCTCCTCCCTATGACATGTAGCTTCGAATTGTAATTATTAAACTATAGCTATGGAGAGTATTTAGGCTATTTTTGAGTGGCTATATGTGAAAGGTTTTTTTTTAATGGGGGGGGGGGGGACTAAAGCGAGTATAAAAGAGAAAGATATAAACATGGTTATAATAGTAAAAACTCTTTTTTTATTACTAGTAATAGTCTCTTAAGAAATGTGTAGAAGGCGAACCCAACGAAAACAGATGAGAGATAGTATTAACATAACCTTTTAGGGGTCGTTTGGTAGGAGGTATTAGGAGAATAGTCCATGTATTATGTATGGTATTATTTAGTACTATGTTTGGTAGAATTTTTGGGCCTAAGTATAACTAATCCATGGATTAGTTATACACCCTACATTGTATTAGATGGTGTATTATTAATACCTTTCATTTGGTGGTATTAGTAAAACATTGGATTTAATACTATGAAATTATCTATGTAAAGACAAAAATATCCCTCAAATCATTTTAATCATTTTATTTATTTTATGTTTTATATGTACTAGAAAATTTATTTAAATAGATTAGCTTACAAATTTTATTATTTAGAGAGAGTTGTTTGTTAATAAATAAAGAGAAAATACATAATTACCTCATTAAAGTACGATATGTTTTTTAAAAAGACACTTAAACTTTGTAGGGGTCCTATTACCCCCTTATTTTTATTTAGAATGAATTTATTGTCTCATTACGTGCCTACGTTGCGTGTAGAGTGTAGTTCACTCTCTCATAGAAAGTGAGTTGAACCAAAAAGTAAATAAATATTTGTTTAAGGATTTATTTAATTAGAAATATTATTTTTTTCTGTTCTTTTATTTATTTTATTGTACTTTCTCAATTCTTTATTTTTGTTATCTTCTTCCCCAAATTTCGAAAGAACCAACTATCTATTCTCTATTTTCTTCAACTTAGAAGACCCATTTACTTTACTCATTTTTTCCTTGTCTTCTTGTTTCTCTTTGTTCTTTTTTCTCCTTTTGTCCCTTATTTTTTTCGAAATAATAATAATTGTAAACCTCCTTGATAACATTGTTCTTTAAAAAAAAAAATTGTTATGTAGTTCTTTAGCATATAAATAAAGAAATTTCTTCGATTTGAGAGTATTATAGAATTTCATTACCTTCATCGTAATGGAGTTCCGCTGCATAATTGTTGTAATTTTGAAAAGGAGATGGTAGATTGGAGGTGATTATTGATTTTCAATTTATAATTTGTAAGTAATTTTATTTTGATTTAACAATGATTTGATGATATTAACGGTGGAGATGGTATTATAATAGTGACATGATGAAGACTACTCATGAGGATTGAGGAAGATGGCGGCTACATCGAGGAATTCTGGTGATGGTAGCTAGAAGGGTTGAAGAAGAGCAGAGGAGGGTAATGAAGAAAGAAGAAGAAAGAGAAAAAAGAACAAAGAAAAAGGAAATGAAGTAAATAAATTAAGAAAAAAAAATAAAGATTAAAAATTAAAATTTAACACGTGGCAGATAGTAATTGGTGTGTGATTGCACTTCCTTTCTTGCAATTGAGGGTGGCTGAAAAATGGGATATTTACAACACTTTAAAATTGTTTAAGGGGGTACTAGGACCCCCGCAAAGTTGAAGTGTCTTCTTAAAAAATAGGTCTTACTTTAATGAGGTAATTATGTATTTTCTCATAAATAAATGCAATACATATCAATACAATATTTAAAATGTGAGTTCTTTAACATTTTCTAATTGAAAAGGCAAATATATCACCACATGACGTTTGTGATCTTAATTTAATATATTATTTATTGATTTCTATGTGGTTTTTAATTATTTGTATTTTGAACAATTTATAAATTGCATACATATTAAAACTACAACTTGTAATTTTTATGTGTAAATGTAGATGATTTATTCGATTTCACTATTGTTTACCGTCTTTTTGGTTTTAATGTAGATGGTCTATCTATTCTAAATTAAAAATTAACATTTTTTAAGTGATTAATTCATTAAGATAATAATTGTTTACCCTCGAATAATTCAAGTGAGAAAATAGCAAACATGACAACAAAATTGTTTCTCCTAGCTAGTTAGAAGGTCATAAAAAATAATATTGTCCCGACAATTATATACCTTGATCGATTACATAAAATAGAAAATCTCATAATAATGCAAGGGTATAATTGGAAAGAAACTTTTTGTAGAGTTTTAATCCAAGCACAAGATGAGGTCAAAAGCAATGAACCAAACACTTGATAAAAAATATATCATGCAATACTAATCCCTGCATTACTAATCCATGTGTTATTAATCCCTGCGTTATTTTTTTTCTACCAAACAACCCCTTATTGTCTTGTGGTCTTTCTTTATGCTCTTGTCTATGTACGTTATGTCGTACTCTCCGTTTCATTTTACTTGGTCAGCTAGACTCTATATTAAAAATAAATATTTTATTTTTCTAGAGTTTTGTTTTCTATTCATGCTACCATTTTCTTAAAGAGTGTCAGGTCAACAAGGATTAAGTAATATAAATCACATGGAGTACTAATTGATACACCTCAACTTCTACTGAAATATTTCAATTATACACTTTCAATTAAAATTTCAACCATTGAGCATATTTTCATTCGCCTATTAGATAATTAAATTAACCAAATACACATTAACCTCATCCAAAAAATGTCTAAAATTTAACTGAACTGCATGATAGACAAGTGAAAACATACTTAAAAACAATAATTTGAACTAAAAGTTTCTAATTGGAACACCTCATTAGAAATTGAAATGTTGTATTTAAACATAACATAATTAGTGTTTGAAGAAACATTCTTGCAAGTTTAAAGAGGTTGATTATGTATTATCCTAGATGCTAGGAATAGTTATTGATCATCCACGTCATGTTAGAGCATCATTATGTCTTTGCAGCTTTGGTGCTAAATCAAAAAAACTCTCCTTCTGACCACATTTAATCATTGCTCTATTAAATAAAAATGCAGGAACCACTCTTATCAGACAAAACTGATCATGAATCTCATTCCCACTTAATCCAAAAAACCTTCAAGAGAAACTGGGACAGACCATGGAAAAGCTGATAATTATAAAGAAAAGTAGTCTTTGGTAAGAGTACAAGAAAGAAAATAAAAGGTACTGCATACAGAATCACATATCCCCAAAATTGGAATTACAACAATATGAAACTAGTCTGAAGATTCTGGTAGCACCAGTTAAGCAGCAGCACCAGCTCCACTCTTGCCTTTCTTCTTCTGTAGTTTCTTCGTGTAGAACTCAAGCTCTTTTCCCTCCAAAATGTACCTATCAGTTTTCAATTAAAGCATAACGGCAAATCAAAATACTGAACATTATTCTTATGAAGCACGAAGCAAAGTATTGAGCATAAAAGCTTACCCATCACATCTGCCACATTGACCAGGGCGGGAAGAGATGCAGGCCAAAAGCCTACCACCACCAAATTGCTCTTCAAGGTGAGGATCAAGTGTACGGTCCTTTTGACGATTCTCAATTTTCCTCTGAACATGGTTGCTCTTCTTAGTTTCCTCGGCAGCAGCAGCAGCACCTCCTCCTTCCTGTATCAGCCAAGAATAAGAAGTATCAGAATATATTGGAAGAATTCATTCAGCACTTGCAAATCATTTGGCATGTAGACACTGAGACAGTGTCATCAGAGTTCATAAATTGTAGTCATCACAAATAATTAACTCAAACAATTACTAATTAAGATGAATGGTATGTGTTTCGAGTACCTCAGTAGTTTCCTTCTTAGCGGGACCCTTCTTCTTCCTACCAATGTCAGCACCATAATGCTGGAGGTACCATTGTTTAAATGGTGCAGCATCAACTTGAATAATTGCACTCTTGACCAGTGTTTGTGTACGAACAAGTTCATTGTTTGAGGCATTATAAACCACATCAAGGATACGAGTTTTACGTGTGACTGCCTCACTACCCCATGAGTAATTTCCTGTATCCAATCTCAGTGCCCTCCACTTTACATTACCACCACGCACACGAATTCGTCTGACTGTCTTGTTATTTGAGAGCTTTGTATTAGCAGGCTGGCGGCCAAGTTCATACCTTCAAAGAATTCAAGGAAATGATTAGATTCAGAGAATGCAGCCAAAATACAGTGATTTACATAATAGTTTATCCATATAATATTCAAATGATAAAAGCTTGGTTTAACACATCGTTCTGCAGGTTACAGGAAGACGACTTATCCAACCATCATTTTCCAACAGACTGTATGTTCATCTTCTGCAACTTGATTTACTCAAGCTACATTATACAGATTATCTGTAGGAACTGATTTACTTCCATTTCACTAGATCAAATTAATTGAAATATCCTAGAATAAATCAATTGTAGAATGATTTGTAGCCTTTTTTGTAAAGTTGATTTATAGTTTTTCTGGACATATAGCCGTTTGGCCATGAGATTTATCCACTTTTTCCGGAACATTTTAACTTTATTTCAAAAACAGTGTTTGGTTATAAAATTTACAAACCCAACTTGAAGTTATATTCTAAATTGGATAAGTGTTCCAAACCAGTTTTCGAACTCCATCATCATAAATTCCAAATAAAGTGCTCACTTCTCTACTTTGTAAAAAGCTATGTTGCTCGGACTCTTCAAAAATTTCAACGGGTGCGTGTCGGATTCGCCAAAAGTAGTGTATTTTTGGAGAATCCGACACGGGTGCGGCATCAAAAATGAAGAGTCCGCGCAACTAAAGTAAAAAGTATAATCAAACACAACTCCCTCTTCAATTCCAACTTCATAAATTCCATATAAAGTAAAAAAAATATTTGAAATGTATGGCCAGGTATCGTCCCACACAGAAAGAAAGAGCGCAGAGCCCCAGCCCGACCTGAAGGTCAGCTAACAATGCCTACTTATAGTCTATCAAATCATTAAGATTTACAGAAAGTTAAGTCCTCCCGTTACAGTTGATTAAATCATTTTTGCTATTTGGATTCTCTTATTAGGTTCTCTTTTGCAAATACATAATTATCTCTCCTATAAATAAAATAGAATCTAGTACCACAACTAATACACAGATTAGCAGATTTATCATGCAAAGGCTAGTTAGTTCCATCATGAAAAGGTAGAGCACCGGATTCCTAGGTTGGAAAAGCTATAAAGAAATCACTGTGGACCTCAACAAGTTTACTATCAATTCTTAATGAATAATTCAGCCAGAAGCGTATCGAGGGGTTCAAAAAGATAAGTAAGCTCGGTAATAGTATTCACAAATAAGCAGGTCGGGCGGGTCATATACTCATATATGGACGGGTCGGATCAGATATAAGCAACTAAATAAAATTTAACTCCACCGCAACACGAACAATAAAACCGAGGAAGTATGTGTTTGACATAATATTAAAATGAGTGCGAGAGAATGCATTTTTTTTAGTGTTAATTATGGGTCTTGTCTCCGTCAAAGTTGCATATATACATCACTCAATTTTTTGAAACTAGGAATACTTCCGAATCCAATCCTATTTAGTTAATCTCACTTGTAATTATATTGTTCCTTAATCAAATATAAATTAAACCTTTGACTTAAAATGAGTGAGAGAAAATGTATTTTTTAAATTTTAATTATGAAAACTTAAAACAGTTATAAGTTTTACTTAATTTTATAAAAGTAGAAAAGAAATTTATTTTTCAATACCCAGTAAAATGTCTATACGGATGTTTCATTTATTTAGAAATTAAAATGAAAATCTGGAAAACAAAACATTGTTACCCAGCTCGAACCTGCAAAGCCGCGTACATTTCTATGAAATCTTGAACCCCCATTACCACTGAACCAAGCCCTTGGCTTATGCTGAGGGGTTCATCAGTAAGTATATACATGTGAATCAAATAATTGTTCGAATGAACCCTAGACTCCATGTAGGTCCGCCCCTGGTTTCAGCTACTATTACGATAATTAAAATTTCCTTGTTCTTACAGATGAAATAAAAGAGCACAGCAATAGGGGATATTCTCGTATAAAATTTACGAGTCTCGTAGGAAAGACACTTCTTAATTAGGAAAAAAAAGCCAAGTTATAATCCATTCAAGTTATAGGCTTCAAATGGCTGTTTGAAATCATCAACTCATTCTCAGGTCAAATCATGAATCCATGAATATAAAGCTACTGGTGAAAACCAATTCTAACCTACAACCTAACATATAAACTAATCAACAATTATTTTAGGATCCATTTCAGTAGCAGAAGTGGCTGACAACGGAAAATTGCTAAATAAAATAAGCAGACAGAGAGAGACATAGAATGGAGACAGGAAACACAACAGACAAAGACTATGACTTACTTTCGCTTCTTCCTCCACGCTTTCTTCTTGCCACCAGTGGCACGCCTCTTGTGCATAGAGTCTCGTGAGATACCTTATATCCATTTTATACAAAAAAAAATGGCATACTAATTAACAAAACTACACAAAGAGAAGATAAAATGAATCTACAGAGAAGGGGAGAGAGAGAAAATGGAGAACTTTGATATGCATACCCATGGTTGCTGAAAGCTTAGCCGCAAAGAGGCAGACTACAGCACTTCTCTTTCACTTTGTAGGGAGCGAGAACCACACACCAAAACCCTACTTTTACTATGGCTGCTGCCTTCCAATCTTGGGCCTGACATTCATTCTCATTCGTTGCCTTGCCATAATAGTCCGTTCGTTTGGCCCAACTTTCAAAAAAATGGAATTATCTAACCATATAAATATGGGAAATTATAGGAACTAACAAACATCTAGAGTATATTATTTAATATAGTTATAGTTTCGATTATTTTTATTATGTGGCTATAGTTTTGCGAAATTTTGCTATTCGGTTTCCTAATTGTATAAATCCAGAATTTGTATAATTCGGTTCCTGAATATATAAATTCAAAATATGGATATGCTTACCCTAGCTATTTGTATATTTATGAAAAAATCATAATAAATTACTATGTTTGTATATTGATAAACGAAATATAAAACGGAGTTCTGAAAAATTTCTAAATGTATAAATACAGAATATATATATATACTTACCTTGTTTGTATATTTGCAAGCAAAATATACAAACCGCAGCCCCCATAGCAAAATGGAATTATAGTTATATAGGACAATTACCAAAACTATAGCTATAGAGTCTTATTATGTCTATTTTATCTTTGCTATTTCTGGAATTTTCTCTATAAATATTTCTATCATAAATACTAGTTTACTTTATAATTTGAAATAATTATATATTATCTCATTATTTAATAATTATACTAGATTTCAAGTTAGATACACCAATACTTCAAATTTTCCTCTTGCTTTCTCCTTCTCTCTCGCTCTCTCTCCCCTCTTTCTTCTCTCTTCCTATCACTCGATCTCTCCTTCTCTTTTTGTTGTCCCCCACCCTCCACTCCTATTTCTTTCTCTATGCACGATACGCTGAAGAAGGTATTAGTGTATTTTTCTTATATTAAATACATGTATATTTGATACTAGATATACATGTAGTTTTGATACGAAATATATTTTGAAACACAAATACATAGGGAGAGAGGCGAGCGAGATAGGAGAGTTGGGGGGGGGGGGGGGGGGAGAGGAGGGGGAGGGTTGGGGGGGGGGGGGTGAGAGATTCAACAAGCTTTTGATAGCAGATACTTTTATAGGCAGAGAGGCGAGCGATCGAAAGAGAGAGTGTATCTTAGATACATGTGAATCAGGCTTGCATATAATATATCTAGAACAAATTATATTTAATTTGAGTCGCATGTATCCTATATACATGTATCTGAGTGAGCTAGATATATCTATCTGGTGGGGAAAATGCAAAATTTCCTCATGAACTTGTCCCAAAAAAATCAGTTATACGCTTAAACTATCACGATGACTTATTACAAACCTTTAATACCACCTTGAGACATGTAACACCACTCCATAATATGTGGTGTATTATACTCGCTACCACATCAGCGCCATAAATCATATTTTTTATATCTTTTTTATTATTAATTGACTTTTCTTTTGTTAACTCTATTTTATGATATACCGATATGATCCGAGCTCTTGAAATTGGAATAAATTTGGTGCGGATCGCGAAATTTTGGTGATCTATTTTTTCTGAAAAAGAGTAATCGGGCTTCTTTGAAGTAATAAGACTATTCAAATCACAATATTTCTGGAGAAAGAATCGTAATAAATGTAAAGAAGAGGCATTTTTTACCCAATAGCGAATAGTTTGAACCAAGATTTCCAAATGAACAGGGTAGAATATTAGTATATCTAATACATAATTTGGATGTGAAAAATTGTCCTCTAAAAAAGGAAATGCAGAATGAATTGATCGTAAATTATGAGATTTGAAATTTTTTTGCCTTCGAAAGAAGATAAAGAAGATATTAATCGTAGAGAAAATAGAGTTTTCATAATACATGCAAATCCCTCTGGTATCATTTGAGAATACAAACTCTTGTTGTACCCCAAAAACTGGTTTTTGTTAGATTCATTAGTAGAAATATGAATGATTTTATGTTTCATAATTAGGAAACTAAATTTATACTTGATTCCTAATTAATTATTAAAATTTTCTAGTAATTATATCTTCTTCATCGCTAAATCACACTCACTTTATCTCTTATTTCACCTGCAAAATTATGCCCAGACACCTTCACTGTTGATTCTTTGTTCTTCACCATCACTATATCACCTTCAATTCTTTAATCCAGTTGAACTAAAGTTCAATTCTTTAAAAATTTCAGGTAGATAGATTTATGGGTTTTGAAGAAAATCAAGATTCAAAATGGGGAGTAAATGAAGAAAATCACGATGGTGTTATGCCCACCGCCCCCACCCCCTTCCTCTGAACTTCGTATGCCTAAACATCATAGTTCCAAATTTTCAAAGGTTAGTAAAAAAGAAAGATTGAATTTTTATTAGTATTTTTAATTTATTTGAAATAATCTTACAAAAAAATTAACCCAAATTGTGAATAAAAAAAGTTGTGTTTTAAGGTTATTATGAAAAATAAAGAATAAAGAAGAAGAGGATAATAGGTGAGGTGTGAAGAAGAAGGGAGGATGGGGTGTGGAGAAGAAGAGATGGGTATGTGGGTTGTAAGGAGAATTTTGATCTTTTACTTTTCTGACCCACACACTTTTATTTTTATCCCACATCAGTTTTAGGGGGTAAATAAATTCAATTTTAAGTAGTAAATGTGTGTAATAAGTATTCTTGATAATTTAAACGTCTAACTTTTCAAGAAAGGTTCGTAGGTGGAGGGGGTGGGGGAATCTATGCCTTTTCCTTATCTGATGAAGAAAAAGTAGTATGGAAGCTAGTTTCCTAAATTGATGTGAGAGCATGTATTTAGAAACTAAGCTAATAGAATTTATGATGTTTGTGCTATTTCAAAAAATGAGTAATCTTGAAGATGATGTCACTAACATAGTAAGGGAATTCTTTTGCGGGCAACAACTTCCTAGATTCATTACTCATACTAACTTGGTACTTATCCCAAAGAAATAAAAAGTTAAAAGCTTTGTGGACCTAAGACCAATTAGTTTGAGCACTTTCATGAACAAAATAGTATCCAGATTACTCATGAGAGAATAACAAGGTCGCTTCCAATGATTATCTCCAAGAACCAACCGAAATTTGTAAAGGAGAGAAGCATCACAAAGAATGTCTTATTAGCCCAAAAAATTATCCGAGATAGTAAGAAAAGGAACAAGTATCATAATGTTGTGGTAAAACTGAACATGAAAAGGCGTGTGATCGAATGTTTTGAATTTTTCTAACAAAGGTGTTGCGAAAGTTTGGATTCTCAGAGGTTATTATTGACATAGTTTTGAGGCTCATTTCAAACAAATGGTACTCGGTTCTAGTAAATGGAAGATCATAAGGTTTTTTCACTTCAACTAGGGGACTAAAACAAGGTGATCCCATATCACCCACTTTGTTTATCATTACAGTTGTAAGTGCTTGCAAGAGGGCTGAACAAACTACATGAAGATGAGAGGTATAGATGATATGGAATGCCAATATGGATTCCAGAGATTAATCATTTGTCATATGTTGGTGATACAATTTTGTTTGGGTCTAGAGATAGATACTCAGTTATAAAAATGATGTGGTGCTTAGGAGGTTTCAAAAGGTGTCTGATCAAATAATAAACATGGAGAAGAGTTTTTTTTATCTACATGAAGAAACACCTCTAGCAATGGGAATCAGATTGAGAAAACTCACATGTATAAAAATGGTTATGGGAAAGAGTATATTACAACATTTCTAATTCGTGAATTTATAATGATCGTCGTGTTCTGCATGCTGGATCTTCTACTATTCTATGTTCTTCCCGAAAGCGGAACCTTCCTTTTTACATACTTAGGATGTCATGTTTATTATGGGAAGAAGAACAAGGTACACTATGAAGACATACTAAGGAAGGTAGCAAAGAGAATCATGTGCTGGCAAAATAGGTTCTTATCCTATGTGGGACGATATGTGATAATCGCACATGTTATGCAGTCTATGCCAGTGTATATCTATCAGCTAGGAACCCTACCAGAGGATTCATAGAACAAATGCACCAAGTTTTTGCCAAGTTATTTTTGGTGCAGAAGAAGGGGAGAAAAGGAAAAACATTGGATTATGTGGGAGGATATGTGCTTACCCAAGATAAAAGGGAGAGTGGGTTTTAGATCACTCCATGAAGTAACTAAAGCCCTATTTAGCAAGATTTGGTGGAGATTAAGGGTCTCAATAGGATCATTATGGAGCACATTTATATGGCACAAATACTATAAAAGGCAACACCCAGTTATTGCGGGGGGGGAGGGGGCAGAGGGGCTTCACATGCATGGAAAAAAATGGTGGAGGTAAAGGATGAGACAAAACATGAGATAGGGTGGCAAATCAAATCAGAAAACTATAATTTTTTATTTGATAACTGGACTAAACAAGGAGCATTATACTTCACTGAGGATGTCAGGGGGAGGTGGAAGATATTGAAGTTAAAAGATGCATCAGAATTGGGGAATGGAATAAAGAAAAACTACTAGGCATGATATTAGAAGAAATGACAAAGTTCATAGTGCAGAAGATCAACACTAACATGGAATCTGGAGAAAGTGATGCCTAATACCAGTGGTAATTTCTCAGTAAAGTCTACATATGAACTAGTGAGGAAAAAAGACTACGACAAGAATGGTTGGACAACATTTGGTTGAAATGTATATCTTTCAAAATCAGCTTTTTCAATGGAGTGTATGAAAATGAAGGATTGTCACTGAAGACAACCTGAGGGAGATGAGGGTTTCATTGGACTGAAGATGCTACTATTGTGAAAGGTATGCACAAGAGACTATGTCCCACTTATTTCTAATAGCTCATTAGCTCAAAGGCTATGAAGATTTTTTTTCTTCTTATGCAGGAATTAGCATGAAAGGAGATTAACTACAACAATTGATAAAAATGTGGTGAAATGAACCAGCCCCAATTAAATTAAGATACATATACAGGGTCATCCCTACTCTGTTAATGTGGGAGTTATGAAAAAGAAGAAATAATAGAAGACATGGAAAAGAAGTGAGATATGAATATCTACTACAACAAACAATGGTATCCATACATCGCTTTCAAATTGAAATACACATGGATTGAGATACCAAAAGAGTATGAGGGAATAGTAGTCAAGCTAATGAAATACAAATCAAAAATTCATTGGTTGACATAAGATGGGAAATATCAGAGCAAGGGTGGATGACGTGCAATACTGATGGAGCTAGTAAGGAAAATTCGGGGGAGAATTCATATGCCTTCTGCATCAGAAATGCCAATGCTGATCTTATTAGTGCAGAGGCTCGATGTATAGGAATTGCTACAAATATAGAGGCAGAGGCTACTGTAATCCTAATGACATTGAGGAGACGCCGGGATCTTAATTTACTTAATATAATTCTTGAAACTGACTCACTCAGTTTAAGAAAGATTATTATGGATGATTCTATGGTAGTTAGTAGTTCAGATTGAAGAAATAAGACAATCACAAGTTACAGTTAAACATGCATTTAGAGAGGCAAATCAACTTGCAGACAAGCTAGAAAATGTGGCATTGGATCAACAGTTTACCCTAATTAATGCTAACAATTTTTTTACTCCTACTAGTAGAATGTTGAAAACTGTTAAACAATGACAAAGCACAAATTTCTAATTTAAGAATTAGAGCCCCGAGAATAAATAACAACATGCAATGATGAAGAAAGATTACCAAAGCAAGTTCATGTCTCATAGTTATGATATTTTCATCAACTACTTTAGCCATTTACAGGGCTTAATAAATGTGAGAAATTTAAGCTACCTAACCTATGCTATGTCAGCTTACAAAAAGGAGTCACCAGCAAAAGTGGAGGGCTAGGGTCGAATATGGACTGGGAAAATGGATCTTGAGGAGGGGTTGTAAAGGAGGAAGCGTCTGAGCATCACGAATATCTCCATCACTACCTCAGCTGCAAATATTTGGTGGCCAAAGGACCAAGAGGAGCAACATAACATAAAGGAAAGGCGAAGATGATTACTTACAAAGAGTTCGCTCAACTAAGTTTTATGATTAGGCACCTCTGTCGAACCCAAAAACATCCCACGGTATTCACCGGACAACAACGTCAGTACAAAAGAGAAAAAGAAAGATGAAAAGAAGAGTCCAGCTAGAAAGGAGAAAGGAGAGAAAGTATTGGGCTGGGCTGATTTTTTGCTTTTATTTGGTTTTTGTTGGACTCACTTGAGTGCATTTTTGTACAAATTCATTCATGAATAAAAAGGTCATGGTTAACTCTCAATCCAAACTCTCTCAGTGCATGTTAGCTTAACGTGCACTTCCATGGGAAGGAGAGCTCAGATTCCTACTCAGAAGGTTGCTGAAGCTCAGGAAAGCATGAAGCAGATGAATCACCTACAGAAAAGAAAGGGTAATCAAGGAAACCAGGTCGGGATTTCTCAAAACCTAACTTCTGGGGGAGGGAGTGTAATAGGGATGAATTACCAACGCAATTGGATATTGAAACAACAATTGCATCGGAATCTAATGAAAAAGTGAAGGCAAAAGAGAATGAAATAGTAAGTAGCCCAAAATCGATACTAAAGAAGTGGAATGAGGCAATATACTCCCCAAACATGTCTGCAAGGAAGTCATGGGCAAATGAAATGGAATCTGAAAATGAGGTGAGACGGAAACCCTCGATTTGGGACAATTTTGACATCACAAAAACATCCAATGCAGGTTTCAAGCTGAACTTTGTTTCTCCCATCACTCAAGGTCAGATACCTGTGTGTGAAATAGATCTGGAAGATATTACATCTGAAATTGATTATTGGAAGAATGCAATGGTTTGTTATGTACTTGGAGCCCATCCACCATTTGCAGTACTAAATGGATATATTCGAAGGCAGTAGGGAAAGTTTGGAATCAATAATGTCTCTATGTTGAAGAACGGGATAGTGTTGGTGAGGTTTGATACTCTTGAGGGAAAGAGTGAGGTCTTTGATGAGTTCACAAATTGGACTCATTTAGGGCTATATTTTGATAGAATTAGTGTCCTCAAATGCATATTTTATCTCAATATCTGATGAAAACCCTTAAGTTTCAGGTATTTGGAGTTTGAGGGAAAGCATCAACACTACTTAGCAAAAAAAGAACAAAGACAGCTGAAAGAACGAAGAAATGAAGATCTGAGAATCGCCGAACTCATTCGACGAGTCGCTAAAAGGTCTTACCCTTGCCTTTTGTTCCAGTGTGCTGAACCCTGAAACAAAGGATCAAATCGACGGTGAAAAGGAGCAGTCGGCGTGTCCCCGAACAGTTCCGCAAAACAGTACTATGTTGCCTAATGATCCAAAACATGACGATGCTGAAGGATAGAACAAGACGACGATGAAACCTACCAAAGGGCGGATCGCCGAGTTGATCGGCGATCTCGACTAACGACGCTGAATGATCCGCTGCAACACAGATTTTTGAAAACTATAAATACTTGTTGAGAGTTGTAACTTAAGATGAGATTTTTTAATATATAATTTTTAACATAGATTTTTGAGTTCTAAGTTTGGAGAGGGTTTTGAAGAACTTGAAGATTCAAAGGGTTTCAACTCCCAACAATTTGGGTTTGGGTCTCTTGGATTACTTCACTCTTGGCTTGTTTTGAGACTAAAAATCTTCATATCCATTTGAATGCAAACTCATTTTGGTATAAAATTTCTCTCTCTTTTACATATCTAGCTAAAACCCCAATTCTTGGGGTGTGATTTTATGAATATGGATTAGATTAATTATTGAGTCTTGCTTGCTGATAGTTTATTTGTTGTTTAGATGTGATTTCGTTTAGTAGTTGTGTTGGAACTTAATAAAATTGTAATTGCAAATACGATTTCACCTTTGTGTTTTCGGCTTGCGCGAGAGAGAGGTTGTAAAACTAAGACTACTAAATTGATGGCCGGTGGGAGTAGGTCGACATGAGGTTCAGCTCGAGAGAGTGAACCCTAGTCCTTATCCCACACACTCAGCTCGAGAGAGTGTGTGGGCTAAGACGGAGGTTGTTCTACATGCGGCAAGTGGGTGTACGAGAGAAACTCATTTGATTCGGGGTAAGTTGTTTGAGAGAAAGCTTACCCCCACTATAGTCTAGCCTAGTCACAAATATTCAACGAAATTACTATCAAAAGCATGTACCCAACGATCTAGTCTAACCCGTATTTCTATCACATCCCAAAAATCCCCTCTCTTTGATTAGTACTCTTTGGATTTTTGTTGTTTTTACTTACTTGTGACAAACCCCATTGATAATTGACGCTTGTGTCACCCCTTAGATTTAACATGTTTATATTCGATAATGTTTTTAGCTATGACTTATTAGAAATTTGATTTTATTTTTCTATTAATTCTCAAGCCCACTCACTTGGGACTCGACCCCAACCCTTGGCTGGGTTACATACTATTGTACGATCGTAGACACTTGCATTGGAAGTTGTGTCTTGATTATGCAAACATCTGTTTTGCAAGGTGGGATATACCACTTTGATAATAAGCCTTTCATAGTTCAAGCTTGGCATGAAGAGATGGAGTTTACGCGTGAGGAGTTGTACACAGTACTAATTTGGGTGAAACTTCATGGACTGGATATTAAATATTGGGGGCCTAAAGGATTGAGCAAGATTGGAAGCCTAATTGGGAAGCCGCTGATGGTGGATAGGAACACTGAGCGGAAAATAGGTCTAAACTTTGCTCGATTACTGATTGAAGTTGAAGTAGATACTGAGTTGCCAGATATGGTGTATTTCAAGAATGAGAAGGTCTGCTCATTGAACAAAAAATCCAATATGATTGGAAACCTATGTTGTGTAAGCACTGTAAAAAGTATGGACACTCTGAAATAGAATGTAGGAAGAAGAATGTTACAATGAAAGAAGTGTAGAAAGGGGAGGCAGCACCCAGATATGCCTGATGTGGACAAAGGAGAATTATCAAAGGGGAAGAACGAAATGCAAATGGTTGCTAGTCCTGAGGGATTGAAGGAAAGGGAGCACACTAAACAAACGAGGTGGATTACTCCAACACATCATAATAGATCTAAGCAGAGAAAGGAGAATGTGGTACAGTTGAATCCTTTTAATATTTTGGGCGAAGGAAGTACTAGTGAAATGGCACACAATAGTCCAATACTGCATGAGGGGGGCAATGTATTGTCTCCTCGGGGAAGTGGATAATATACTTTGTTGGAATGTTAGGGGTTTGAATGCCCATAACAAGCAAAGGGAGGTGGAAATCCTCTGTAAAAAAAAGAAAATATGGGTCTGGTAGCTTTACTAAAAATGAAAGTGAAGTCACATAAAGTGGAGCAGGTAGCAAAAAAGATGTTTGAAGGGTGGAATCTATATATATATATAAAGCTGAAAATAGGCAAAGCTGATGTGGCATGCCTTATTGATCAGTATTGCTATTTATCTATTTTCCCATAATTTTGAATTTTTTTCATCATTTTCTATTCAATAATCTTTTTTAAAAAAAAAGTAACTTCCTTTCCTCATTATTAGCATTTAGCATAATGAGCAATTAAATTAGGAAATTATTTATTGCTTTAGCCCACACAGCATCGATTACTTCTTGATGCTTTTAATCACCAGTAATTAATTGGCAGCATCCATTTACTTATTCATACTCTATTTTTGCATATATATACTCATTATATCTTTCATTTGAGGTCTAAGGTAAGTATTTTTCTCTTTTCTTTTATTTTTTTTATTCATGATTCATAATCCTTAATTTTTAATCTATATATATATTATCATCATCTTATAACAGGCTAATCAAATATGGAGTTTTTTT